GAGAGTAGAGATTCCTTGTTGTATATTCATTTGCTTCCATGACTCTATTGAGAATCCTGATGAGCACCTTTAATCTATGCATAATTCAGCATGACCGTATAATGCCCTCAAAGATTTACAACATAGCCACAAAACATTTATGATGCCTCATATCTAAGGATTAGTTTGCACCATTGCAATTTATGAGTTCCAACTTGACATGTGAGTAAATACTTCTATGTTGTAACTCATGTGTTGGGTCGCGTTAAGTGTACTTGTTCTTCTACAAGCACCTATACACATATCGATGTGTCTCCACCCCTAATGACTTGAGACCTTACCGTTCCCTACATATTGAGACGATACTGTGTGTACTAGTCTTTATGGAATATTGACACCCAATCAATATTCCTATGACCATGAACATATTCAGGATTTAGGGATGATGAAAATTCTCCATGTATGTAATCTCATTACATAGCTCTCATATCCACTTGTGTATTCCTTGAACTATGGTTGTCCTACATATTAAAAGATAATATAGGATGATTTAATATATAAAACAACCTTTCTTGCCATTTGATAACATAATATGTCTTTTATCAAAGATATCCTTAACTTTAACTATTACATAATTAATTAGTTTTAAGGGCATATTTCTAACACCCCGACCTTAACGGGGAAAGATTTCGTGGCCAAACGGGTGTCGGGTAAGGGGATCCCCGAACTTGAAAAATCCCTGACGGGTATAGGGAAAGGATGGTATTGGTGTCCCCATCCCCGAACTTAACCTAAAAATATATATGTTTATATTTAAATAAATAAATATATAATTATAATATTTTTGTTTAACCCTAAGTTAACATCCCTCTCCTAATTCTTCCTAATCTTCTCTGGAATTTCACATTGATGTGATTTTGAATAGTTGAGTTGAATTTTATAGTTAATTTGGATATGTTGAATGATAATTTAATATGAAACTTAATGTTAAAATGTATGATAAATAGTTTTTATGCAAAAAAAATAGGGGATTCAGGGCGGGTTTGGGGGCTAGTCCTCCAACAGGAACAAGGACGAGGATTCCCCAAAACCTATTAAACATGGATGTTTTTCCATGTTTGGTAAGTCTAGGCATAGAAAATAGTTGCCTGGCTCATGAGAAAGTAGGGAGGAAAAGTGAAGTCATCCTCCTAATTTGGGTTTTGTTTTCTTTCCTTATAGGAAAGTTTGGGAAAATGAGCCAATATTAAATAAACATTTTTCATGACTTTTTGGTCCTCATTAACAATTTAGAATTACAATATATCATTAAATGCATTCTTTTTTTATTGGATTTAATATGGGCATAATTGAAAATTTATACAAATTTTGTTTTCCATTCCTAGTTAAAACAAAAATGGGAAATTAAATAAAGTGATATCTCTCAGTTACTTTCCCAGCATTACCAAACGTGGGAAAGAAATTTTCCATTTCCCATCCCTTGAGAAACAACATGAGAAATGATTTCCCCTCAAATTCGTTCCGTGAACCAAGCGTGGCCTAACTGTATCAAGTTAAGGAAATAGAAGATCCTAAATGCATTAACTAATGCATACAAATGGGGTTGAAGGCTTGGAGCATGTTTTGAATGAAAAGCAAGGGAAATGCTGAAGGGACATGGGACTAAAAATGTGCCTTTCGGGAATTTTTTTTCCTGGAATTGTGATTAAATAAGAAGAATAGAAAGAGGTTGTTAGGTTTGTTTGGGTTATCTTTTTTAATTTTTCGCTTGATTTTTGAGTTTTGCTTGAATTAATAATTAAATTGTATTTTAGGAATAATTAAATTAAAAGATAGGATTAGGATTTAGTACTCCAAGCCTCAAAGGGGACGCTCCTAGTATGGTGGGTGGTGTTTTTTCAAATTTACATAATGGGTGGGAAGATAAGGTGAGTGGGGAAATAGAACAAGCGGGTGGAAATAACAACACTCCAAAGTGACAACCCTAGTGCTTATAATTAGTACTTACTGAAATTTGTCCCTTTCTGCACTGCATCACTCTTTCTTTCTTCAATTTCTTCTCTAGAAAGCCGCATAAGCCCATTTATGTGGTTTGTCCTTATAGTTTATTTTCTCTTTTTGCTTAAAGTTATTGTTAACTACTATCCATTTGCAGTCCAAACACCAATGACGCCCATCATGTGTTCACTCACTCGTCCATTAAATTAAAGTAATTTTTTTTTCTCTATATACTTTGCCCGTTATCATTTTTGTTTCTCTGGTTTCAATTTTGTCAATTTTATCCTTTTAGTATTTAATTCAGAATAATTCAAGGACACATCTCATTTTCTGTCAAATCACTCCCATTTGAGCCAAATTCCTCCCTATTCACTAAAAAATACAATATTTTATGTCCATGAAGAACCATACTAGAAAAATAAAACTCCAAAGAGAAAAAGAATAGGGAACCATTGTGATTCAAATCCAGTAATGCAAGATTTGTTGGAAATTTTGTATTATTTAATAATATTTAATTTTTATAGTGAATGAAAAATAAGTGTCGTGTGTCTTAGTATTTGTTTTGCACTTGGTTATCCTTTAAAGTGTAGTTATTAATAATTAAACGGCGAGATTCAAATGATCAAGTGGTCTTGTTTTCATTGAGTTGTGTCTGTAACTTTTCAATTGAAAAGCTACGTATGTTTCAACAAGAGGTGCAATCAATTTTATATAATCCAAACACCCTCACTTACTTGAGATATAGAATGAAGAGTGAAAAACAAAGAGTATCCCCAGTACTCTATTGTTAAATTCTTCCTAGTTTTGTCTTGAGAGTACAAATATATAATTGGTTCGCCAAATTCTTAAATTGAAGTGCTTCAATTTAGGATTATCATTTGTTGAATCCTCGAAGATGGACCCCTATAGAACTACGAGCATAAGGGCATAACGAAATTTGTCTTTAGGACATTGCAATTCTTGCAAACCTAAATTGCTAAAGTTGTCAGTATTTCTACACATTTGTGTTTGTTGATTTACATTAATTCTATGTAAATTTGTTGTATATTTGATTATTAAAATTTTGCTGAGAATTATTATAATTTAAATTCATATTTCCTATTGTTTCGCCAACAAGATTTAGTACCAAATTTTTTGTCCTCAGCTCCTTGATCTTCTCAGGTGAGCCACTTCCCCATCCAAATGGATCAAACCAAAGCCCACTTGGGTACCCAACATCCATCCCGGTGAGCTTGTTATTAGGGAAGATCAGGTTGGTGTTAACAGACCCGGGCTTGAATTCAATAAGTGCAATTTTTTGAAACGTTAAGTCTAAAAATTACGTCTAAAGTGAATGGGAAGAGCTCTAGCTTGTGTTTTATCGTTAGATGGTTCAAGTGGACTATAATACCCCTACATGCGAGGGGTACATGGTCAAAACCTAACGAAATTGGGAGGGATTTGACAAAAATTGAATGTGTCATTTAACTTCAAATTGAAAACTAGAAAGAAAAAATTGACAAAATTAAAATTAAAGAGATCAAAGTGGTAAAACTGGTAAATTACAGAGACCAAACCAAAAGTAACATTTTGCTTTAAATTAATACTAGAAACTTCAGTTCATGATATGCGTGTACTTTATCGAATCTAGACTCTTAAGTGCATCGTAAATATTTTTAACCACTTAAGTTTAGTATGAAGTTATTGGAAGAGAGAATTAATTGAGAGAGAAAAAAAAATAGAGAGAGAGAGAGAGAGAGAGAGAGAGAGAGAGAGAAGGAAGAGAGAGAAAAAGAGAGAGAGAGAGAGAGAGAAAGTGAGAGTGTTAGACCTAGTTTGGGATTGCTGTCACTTTTAAAAAAAGTTGATTATGCTGTGCTTTGAAAATAATTAGCTGTAAAGTAAAGCAACTTCATATTTGGTAAAAAATATTTTTAAAGTGCTGTTAATACAAAAAGCAATGTCAAAACCGTTTGATAGATTTTAATATAAAATTGTTGTAACTGTGAATAATGACTAAAATAGACATGATGTTAAAAGTGTTATGTACTAATCATGTGGTGGTAGTGGTAGTGATGGAGTGGAGGTATGAAGGTGGAGTTGGTGGTTGTGGTAGTGGTGGTGGTGGTGGTGGGGATGGCGATTGTGGAGGTGGTGGTGGTGGTAGTGGCAGCATGGTGGTGGTTGTGGTGTTGGTTGTGGAGGTGGTAGTGGATGTGGAGATTTTGGATAAGGAGGTGGTTGTGGTGGTGGTGGTGGTGGAGGTGGAGGTGGAGGAGGTGGTGGTTGTGGTGGTGGTGACGGAGGATGAGGAGAAGAAGGATGTGGTGGTGGTGGTGGAGGTAGTGAATGTGGTGATGCAAGTGGTGGAGTTGGATGTAAAAGTGGAGGTTGTGTTATTTTTTTAAAATGAATGATGATATTCTGGAAATTAAAAAAATTTATTAAAAGTTAATCTCTGCTTCTTTTGAAAGCAGCTTTGAAAAGCGACCTAGAGCCTGCTTTTAAAAGCTGTTGTCAAAAGGCCACTGCTTTTAAAATAATCGGGATATTTTATTTTTACCAAACACCTTAAACTGCTTAACTTTAAAGTGAAGCAGGTTTTTGGCGAAAAAAGCAATCCCAAACGGGGCCTTAGTATACCCTTGCTTTTAAAAACTAATATTTAAGTTACTTTGTTTGTAAGGGCTATAATTGGTATTTAATCCTCATTGGTAATAGTATGGATTGCAGATATGGTTAACCCGGCTTGGAACAGACAATACAGAAGTTCGCCTTCCGGAATAGAAACATGATTAGAAACATCCATGATCGGGTGAAGCCAAAAAAAAATTTAAAAAAAAATCCACAAGTGATTGATACAAAGAGAAGTGTAAAATATATGTATGATATAATGATGTATGGTTAATTGTAACTTGTGAATAAATATTAGTGTTCCCAAGTTCTCTTTTGAAAGCCGTTGAGCATACATCTGGGTGGGACAAATCGAAGACTCACAATGGTCCTGGATTACCTAACATCTGTAGGAATGATAAGTTGATTTGTAAACACCGACAGTGAATGTCTTTTGTTAGATTGATTCAGAGCCTGTAGCCATGCAAATGCTTGGCCCATCTTCTAGCCATGTAAGGATCATGGTAATCCCAAGTTTCTACACTTGCACTGCTAGACCTCCCACAAATGATTGCATCGTTCGTCCCAGAAGCAGCAGCTGCTCCTTCTGTTGCCTTACTTTTGCTGTCTCCTATGCTCACCACAGTTTCTCCTGTTGTGAAAGGTTCGTCAATCTCACCCTCCTCAATATAACTATATCCCACAAAGATATGTCCACACACACCCAATTCCACCAAGATTTTCCTTTCTTCACCTCCTCTTAGCTCTCCTATCCTTACGATCCTACTGCTTGCCTCCTCCCCTATTCTGATTCTCAACTGGACTTCTCTAACGATGCCACCTATGAGTGTTCCTAGGAACTCTTCAAACTCATGCATGATAAACCCATTTGAAGTGCCAAAGCCAAATCCTACATGAAAGCGATGGACTGGAATCGGCAACTCCATGCTCATTGCAGCATGGTAGGATTGCGTTGGGCTGTCAGACAGATGCAGGATACTGGACTCTGGATTCTTGTATGCACGATCTTCAAGTATCTTGATTCCTTTCTTGATCCCTTCTACTGGATCTGCTTGCCCCATATAGAACAGACGGTCAATAACCTGTTGGGCCGTTCGCTTCCCATAAGATGTCATGCGTCTCAAAGGGAAGAGACGGGCAGCAGCTGATGAGTAGGTAACAATGGCCAAACGGTCAATAGGTCTAAGAGAGAAAACCACCAGTGCCATGCACTGTTTGAGAAGCCTCAAGTGTGGCCCATTGGGGCTAGCAACCAAGACCAAGTCTGTTGCTCGTTGATGTGCTAATTTCACAGAAAGATATGCCCTATCTGAAAAGGCACAGAGAGTAAAAGGCTTTGGCCTGGTTGGTGATTGTAACAATGATGAGGAGCTACAGCTTTGGTGATGTGGGGACGGATGGTACGGGTATGGGGTGCACCAGCTAGGGGGTGCACTAGGTGGGATGGGTATTAGAGAGAGTTGGAGACGAGGCCAATTAGGCATATGATCAGGCTCAATTGGGTCATCATCATCATAGTGAGCAGAGCGCAAGAAGGAGCGCCTGTGGATACGGAAAGTGGCAATAGAGTCATCAAGGATTTGGAGGATGGGGTCAGGTCGGTTGCAAGACGAGAGGGAACCCCCAGGTGGGTTCAGATTGCGAGGCAGCTGAGTCCAATGGGCACGGCAGATGGGGCAGGTAACACTACCATGGCGGACATTGGAGGAGATGCAGGCAAAGTGGAAAGCATGGGAGCACTGGGCCGTGAATATAGCAAGACCTGGGGTGCTGCTCTTGCTATGGTAACTCAGAGGGTCTAGACATATTGCGCACAAATTCTGCCACGAGAATCAACAAATAAAAAGGTAAGAAGACAGATCTGGAAAGAAGAAAACATATTGCAATGACAAACTCAAAATGACTGGAACTGCAATCTAACTAGTGGATGTGTATTGCTCAAACATATACATTTTCTATTCTAGTCCAGGTCTGGCTATTTATAGAAATTTTTATTATTATTACTCATGCATTGAAGAAACCAGTAGTTCGAATGTGATGCATATGGATTTGGAACTATTCATAAATCTGATGTATTGCTGAAGCTCAATTCTCAAACAACTGCTATCTGTCAAAGGTTATACATTAATTCACTGTATTAAGAGTAAAGTGATTGTGATCTAGTAACAGCATGTTTTGGTGCAACAATCAAGTTCTCCATCATCATATTATTCTTTTACCTTAACAAAGGAAGACCAAAAATATTTTGGTAAGAGTAACTTTCAACAAAAAAAATGTTCATTCATATCATCAGCATAAGTTACGATATGTCAACAATTATGCTCGGTGTGGGGTCATGTGCAGAGGGGGTTCAATCTGTTGAAAATAGAACCAGTTCTTTTGAAGATTATGCACCAAAAGTATAGTACAAATTAGAGTATTGAAAACTAAATGGGATAGGTAGGCATGAAACTCTAATAGTTTAAAATCATCCATATCGAAATTGGTGAGGCAGGGCAGGGTGTGAGTTTCACGAACAGAGCTGGGCTTACGATTCACGAATGAATAACGCGATATCATGAATTCATGACAGCCAGCGCTAGTAGCAGGTGGAAGCAAATTTTAAAACGTGGGATCTACTGTCTCTGGGTGCCTAATGGTGTTGGGATGGGAGTCTCAACTTGCCTAATGTGCAAGTTTCAGGGGCATTCATTCAAATGTCATACTAGTCTTGTAAATATTATGTCATTTCCCAACTGGAATGTGTGAAAAGAATAGAGTCCCGCTCCCCAAATTTCAATTCATCTGTCCTAGTTTCATATTTCCCAATTCACAGCCACCTGGGAAAACAATTAATTCCTCAATTTTTCTGTATGTATATATCGGCTCAATTAAAGCTTTACAGCCACTCCACACACCAGGAAAAAAAAAACAAACAAACAAAGAATCAGAAAAATCCCAACTCTTCCTTTCGCCTTTCTTTCTTTGTTTTCCTGTTGGGGGTGGGACTGAGGACGAGCAATAGGATAGGATTATTCTAGAGAGTAAAGAAGTTTGACTGAGTGAAAGGCACACCAACAACAGCAGGTTGTGGCAACAAAACAAAACAAAACAAAAATAAAAGAGGCACCTTAGTTGAAGTTGAAGGCATATTGTTACTCTTGATCGTAAATTCCGTTTCCTTTGCAACTTCTTCTCCTGAGATATTCTTTGGGCTTGTGGGAGACACCGCTGAAGAACCTGAGATCTATAAGTATAAACAAAACAAAAAAGAAGAAGAAAAAGAAAACCAAGTGTTTAAAATAACATACAGATACAGACACAGTAGCAGAAGAAAATAAGAAAAGCCAGGCGAGTTATACATGATAAAAAAGAAGGGCAAGGGAAGTGACGCAGCAAAAACATTAAGGAGAGGGTCCAACTATTTGGTTCTTTTTGAAATTTCCTGATTCGACAATCAAACTAGTAACTACAATTGAGAAAAGAATAAATGTTGAATTGGGGAAAGAAGATTTACAGAGGCAGTGGCTGTGGTGTTGGTATGATCGAAGACGATGGGATCCAAAAGAGCCTTTCTCCGGGAGAAGGAACCACAAGCATTTGCAGCTGCCACCACCATTTTCTTCGCTGCATTTCTCAGTTTAGATTTTGACGATGCTCCTCCTCCTGCTCCTCCCATTCCCATGCCCCTCTCTCTCTCTCGCTCTCTCCTCTCTTCTTCCCACTATTACTACTACTACCAAGTAGTAAGTAGTAAGTAGGTAATGAATGCTCCTCTATTATCTTCTTTTTGTTCCTCCGCTGCTACTATTGCAATTTGCAATGCAGACGACAGTGAGAGTTTCCCTTGCCTTCTTTTATCCTTCCCTAAATTAAGGAAGGGTGAATTGAATTAAGCGTTGCGTTGGTTTAGAAGCTACAATATAGTGACATACACACACACACATGTATAATATTAATAATTATAATAATGTATTGGTTTACCACTTTATTGCTCTTTTATCATTTTTTACCTTTTCTTTTGTCTTTTTTGTTTTCCAGAGACTCACCTTTTCTTTCTACCCCAGCACCCAGCCTCTTTCCTTTTATATTTTCTTCTCTCTCTCTATCTCTCTCTCTCTCTCTCCCCCTCTGTGGACCTGTGGTACTGGCACTGGTGACTGGTATATTTATTATGTACTTCAACCATTTTCCCCGCATCAAAACTCCAAGATTTATTATTAGTTATCCTTTTTCTGGTTTAACATGGATAATATGTGCGTTTGGGTCTGCCAATCCAACTTCCAAGGCAGCATATAAGGAAAAGAAAAGAAAGAAAAAAAACAGAAAAAGCAAAACGAGAAAAAGACCGTTGGGTTGTATTTTGAATTTCAAAGTTTTGCAAAAATATAACATCTATGATGGCAGACAAACTAAAGTTAACAAAGTAACTGGATGAGTTGGCGCCAAAAATGCTTTTCTTCCTCTTCAATTTGCATTCCGTTCCATATTTTCCATTTGGTAATTGCTTTTCTTCCACTTTCCCGTTCTCAAACATGGTAATTCTGACTGCCATGCAGAAGGAGTCTCGTTTTTTTTATAACTTTAGCCTGGTGTCGTTGATGGATTTTCAACATCCCTTGGCATCGATCTAAAGTATTCTGGATGCCATGTGAGTTTAGGATTAGGATACATGTACATCCTTGCTTGCTAACAAACATGAATGTTGATGACCAGTATGAGTATCGTTCTCAAGAATTAAAAAAGCTTTTCACTTGAGTGAGGAGAAATCATGATATCCTCCAAGGTTGTATCCAATTAATGCACCTTCTAGTTCTACCAATAAAGAGGAGAGAAAAAAGACAAGACATATAGGAAAAGGATGATCGAAGAAACCCTGAAATTCAAAACAAGTTTCCTTTAATTTGGAAAATGACTGATGCACTAAAGGTAACTATTGACAGTACTAGCATAGAGAGAGAGAGAGAGAGAGAGAGGGCCAGGGAACCTCTTTTGTGACTGACTGACATATGGGAAAGCTTCCAAAGATATGTGTTTGTCTTGACTCTTCACTCTTGCACATGAAAAGAAGGAAAAATTAAAAAGCAAAGGTTGCTGTTGTCCTCAACACTCAACTCAACACCCACAAAACAAAAGCACAAATCTGTTTGACTGCTTACACAACCTTGTGCATTTGACCCGGTCAAAGCCATTCAATAGCGTCCAATCCAATCCAATCATATTTTAAATCTTAACTTGATTAGGAGATGGCCTTTTAGTCTAATTTAATCGAGTGCTTATTTTTTGTCCGTCTCTCTGTGTTTATCTGCAGGCTGCGGTCTTTCTTGAACAAAAAATTATGTCAATGTCGTATTTGTTTGGTGAGTGAAGCTTTGGCTGGTATCTTACATAATTAAGCGAAATAATTTTAGGCGCACCTCACTAAAACCACTAACATGTTCTAATCACAAATATTATGACCACACATATATGAATCATGATGGTTGTTGATAGATTTCCTTTCTTGACTGCTACGACTGGCCCTTCGGTTACATTCGGCTTTCCTTCAAACCCGGAGTTGCAGAACCTTAAAAAACAGTTCACGTTTGAAGCTTGGGCAAAAATAAAATGATTGACTAGTTCTTCTAATATCGTCCCGGAACAAACTAGCATGTGAAGGGCTTTGAACGGTATGCTACTATGCTAGCTACATATTGTTTGTTCTACCCCGGAAAATTCATCTGCGGTGGCCCGGTGTTGGCCGAGAGATTGTTTCTTTGTTGTTTGCGTAGGTGTGCCACTGTTGGCAGCCTAAGTTCCAACAGAAAGTGATTGAAAAATGTAAAATGGGCTCTAATATTGACTCTAATCAATCGATTGTGAATTGGGTGGGGAACTGACCCAATAGGTTCTTTTATATGCCTCAATGAAGAGGACTTCAATATTTTTCTAATGTGAAAATAAGAACAAGTAGAAAATAAAAATAACAGAAATGAAAATGAGAAACACGATATGGAATTGAAGATTTCTCGATTCAGTTCAATATTAATTCAAACTCAAAGTAAACGATAGATAGCTACCCTAAACTGATGATTTCTCTACTCAGTTCATTGTAGCTATAGACTTGAAAAAGTAATTGATAGTAATGAAAATGATGATGTTCATATGAAGATTTCTCTATTCATATAAACATTGTAATAAAAGTAAACAACATAGCTTGAAGATTTCTCTATTCATACTTGGTACATAAAAAGTAAAGGATTTAGCCTAGCTACTTGGTATCAATACCAAGTGTTGGCAGAGCATAAAATAAAAAGATAACAATCATGAGTTGTCAACTGGTTATCTTGAAGGAAAAGCAAGTTATTTCAAGCTTGAGGTTTTCAAGTGTTGAAGACGCTGAGTATGTTTGAGAGAGTTGTGTTGTGTTGATTGTTGATGACTTCTTCTTCTATTTATAGAGAAAACGAGGTGGGTTGAGTGTTGGGACTAGTAGCCAATGAGAAGTACTTACTTGCCATTAATTTTGGTGAGTGGATTGCTGAAAAAGCAAGCAAAACCAGAATAGCCGCTTTGGTGTTGTTCCGGTGAAGCTCCCAGGTAATTCAAAATATCTTCCAAGCAAAACTTGTTTCCCTCCTTCAGCAAGCATACTTTAATATTTAAACTCAAAGGTATAAACTTCCCCAAACTTTCAACTCTCTTCATCTGTTACGCAGTAACAATAAAATGGTTCAAATTGTAGCTCAAAAGGATGCGAAATCAGGTGTGGTAGTACAGCTTGCAGCTTTTCCCCCACATCTTTTTGCAAAAAGCCACTCCACGGTGGTAAGTCTCATCTTGTGTGTTGGTAATATTATTGTTCAATATTATCATTATGATTCACTTATTTGGTGGCTACAGAAGAAAGATGAGTTGCCTTTTGAGTATCCCATCTCACAAATTTGTGGTAGAAGCTTCTCTTGTAGCAGTCCATAAATCTCAGCGGCCTGAGGATGAGATCTGTCCCCAGCAAAAAATATATGGCTCCTGCCCTTCACTTCTATTTGACTAAAACCAGGAACTTTCTTCACTCTTCTCTCCTTCATCTTCTTTCTTACTTGAGCAAATTCTTCCCACTTCCCATGTGCAGCATACACGTTAGCTAAGAGTACGTAAGCCCCTGAGCTGGCTGGCTCTAACTCTAGTAGCTCCTTACCTATACGATTTGCCATTCTAACATCACCACCGTGCAACCTATATGCACCAAGCAATGCCCCTAGAACAGCAGCATCCTGCTCACAAGCAGGCATTTCTTCGCATACCACCCGTGTAGCCTCATCCACCAATCCTGCTCGGCCTAAGATGTCTACAAGGCAGGAATAGTGCTGGCCATTTGGTTTCAAATCATAAGCAAGATTCATTGAATTGAAAAGCCTTTGACCCTTCTTGACAAGACCAGCATGATTACAAGCTGATAAGACTCCAACGAAAGTAATCTCATCTGGCTTGGCTCCTGATCGTAGCATGCGTGCAAAGACCTGTAATGCATAGTGACCATATCCATGGTTTGAGTATGCTAATATCATTGCAGTCCATGATACCGCATCCTTAGCCCCAAGATGCTCAAAAACAAGACTAGCAGAGGTAACATCTCCATTCCTGGAATACATAGTAACAAGAACATTTGCAACTAATGTGTCATGATCAAACCCATGAGATATGACCAGTACATGAGCTTGCATGAGCTCCATCCTGCCCTCACATGAGCTCAATACGCTAGTGATGGTAGTTGCATTAGGCCTAAAGCAAAACCGAAGCATGAGAATTACGTGCTTTAAGGCTTCCCCTCTGGACCCACTTTTGGCATAACCACCAATCATCACATTCCAAGTAACAATATTCCTTTCCCGCATCAAATAGAACAGCTCACTAGCTTCTGTCATGAGGCCTTCGTGAACATATGATGTGATCATAGCATTCCAAGCGGCTACATCTTTGTTAGGCATCCGATCGAAGTACCCCCTGGCAAGTTCAACCATATTGTTGTCTGCCAGACCGGTAACCATAGTTGTCCAAGATATTGCGTTCCTTTGAGGCATTGAATTAAAGAGTTCAATGGCTTCACTTGCTCTATTCGCATTTAGATAACCTGAGAGCATGATATTCCAAGTATATAGGTTACGTTGCGGCATATTATTGAAGAGATCAAGTGCCTCATCTAATTGATCATTCCCAACAAAAGCCTTGATCATAACGGTACACGAGACGGTGTTCCTTTCAGGCATAAGGTCAAAAACAAGGCGAGCTTCATCAATCATGCTGTTGCGGACATAACCCAGAAGCACATTAGTCCAGGAGACCACATTTTTGACAGGCATATGATTAAAAAGCCGGCGACCCTCCTCAACTTGTCCGCAACTGAAATACCCAGAAATCAAACTGGTCCAAGAGTACACATTTCTGTTTTCCATGCGATCAAAAACTTTACGAGCCTCATATATATGACCAGATTTCACATAGCCGTTAATCATTGAAGATTCAGCAACAAGACTATTTGTGGGCATCGTCTGGAAGAGCTTCTCTGCATTGGGAAGATCGTGGTTCTTCAAGTAAACGTTAATCATGGAAGCATAAGAGACAGCGTCCCGTTCAGGCATTTGGTCGAACAGATTCCTTGCTTCTTTGACTTTGCCATAGCGGCCGAGATTTGTTATCTCAACGTTACAGCTGTATACATTAAATGCTTTCGATAGGACTGGAATCGGATTTGGCCTTCGGAGACAGCCTTGAAGCAATTCCAAATTCGGTTGTGCCAGAGAAGAAGCATTGAAATGGCCGAGGGTTCGAACTATGGCGGAAAGCTTTGAAAGATGGAGACGGCAAACGGAGGATGGCATGATCAAGGCTACTAAGTCTAACACTGACAGTATATGCCATACTAATATTGTTAATCGTTCAACGAAAACATGGTTGGCTTGCTGTTAGCATAATAAGCTTCAAAGAAGATAACAAGTTCAGTGATGATAAAAATCCAAGAGAGGGAGATGAACTCTTACTGTTTTTTAAAACAAAATAAAAACTCTGAAGTAAGAGAGGGAGATGTCAAACACCAAACATTAAATTTAAATTTGATGGTTAATGTGACAATTTGACATTTATACAGTTTTACACTTCACCTGATATGTCAAATAAATAATTATTGTAACAGTCAAATCATTTAAGATAAAGAAGGAATAAAATATAAAAAGAAAAATAATAAATGAAAATAACAACCAACTATCTTTAAAAATAATAAAATATTCATTTGACATTTTGCTTTTGGGATGTCAAAAATAACATCTCAACCTCCAGCCTTCATTCCACATCAGCTTTGACACATCGGTTGGAGTAATGTGAGATGTTATTTCTAGCTGTTAAATATCTACGTGACACTTTTGACATATCGGTTGGAGATGCTCTAAGAAAGAAATAGGATAATAACAATATAAAACTCCCAAAAACTATAGGGTCCATTTCAAGTTGAGGAAAAATATGTTTCAAATAAAAATACTTGGACCAAAAGCGCTTATGAGAAGAAACATTCCCAAATCATCCTCAAATCAAGGGAAAAAAAAATCAGGAATTAATCATATTTGTAGTAGTCAGTCAGTACTCTGTATAGTTGCACAATAATTATTGATTAACAGATTCCACAAAGATTATTAACAAACAAGACGGCAGCAAGGAAACGGGAAGAGAGAGAAGCTTCAACCCAAGACTAAAGTCTATATGATGAAGTAAACAAGAGGAACAACATGACCCTAGCTACTAGTAGTAGCTATCATTGTCTCTAAACTAAGCAAGCAAGTCTCAAGTAAAGAGTTTAGAGACAGCAACGCAGATTTCACAAAGACGCTTCAAATCAAGATTCATGGTGGTCAAAGGAGGATAAGTTGTCTTGACAACAACTTGGCAGTCATCCGCAGCAAGAGAAGCAGCACCTGCCCAATCAACGAGCTCAGAGAAAGTTTCCGAGTTGAGGTCGTTGTAGGCGGATGAGAGAGCAGAAACGGCCTTGTTGTAATCATGATAACATCGTCGGAGGACTTGCTGGGTAGGGCCTGTGTTTGCCTTTGCCTTTGCCTTTGTGTGCTTGAGCAGCTTGGCTATATGGTCTTGGGTGCTGGAGGCATTGAGGAATGCTAAGCGAAACGAGATGTAGGCAAGCACATAGCGATCAGCACTGGGCGTGCGTGGGTCCGTGTAAAGAGACTCCACACACAAGGAGTAACTGGAAGTTGAGTGACAGACCTCGTCCACAAGCTTAGTTGGCTGAATGCTACTAGTAGCACAGAAGATAAACAACGCCAAGCACACGCACACAATATGATATTTGAATGCCATTTCTCTTAATTATCACCTCCCTTCTTCTTCTGGGTTGGCTTGGCTTGGCTTGACTTGGAGAGAAGATGATGATGAATGGAGGGAGAGGGTGTGAGGAAACCCTGTGAACCCGTGAACCATTACGTATAGTTGTCATCGCCAAGGATGCAAAAAGACAAAGAGATTAACATCACAAGTGCCAGTAACGATGCATTTTCCAAATTAATGAAATTTCTTTCTTGTTTCGGTTACACAAATGCGTCACATTTCAGTGAATAATTAATGGTCATTCCGAAGCATTTCCAAATTTATGAAATTTCTTTATTTTTCGGTTACACGGAATTCTGCTGCATAGAGAAGAATCCAGGAGTCCTCTTATTAATGTTCAGGATCCATCTTTTCATTCTCCATCTGTACACTACCACTAGTTTCTCCCAAGTACTTTCTAGTAGTCCGAATAATGAGCTAACGATGTGTTTTAACTTTCCAATATGATAATGCAATTTTCTGAAATAGCAATGAGTTAGCTTGGAGTATCGCCACGGTGGCATCCCGTTACATGTAAGTCCTTCTCAACGAGTTGAGATTAAGATAAGTCAAGAATTTGACTCTCTCTCTCTCCAAATAATGAGCTAAAAATAATAATAAAAGTGTTTTACCACTCTCAACGTTAAAAGGCCCACACAAGTTCTAATTCGCATGCTAGTGTTTTACCACTCATGCTCCTTATGTTAGTGTTATAATTCTCTTCTTTCTTTTTTTTTTTTCCTTTTTTTTTTAATTTATAAAAATAATAAAAATATTTTTTGGTCCAATAAATTGTCATTCTCAGTGTGAAAATACTTTAGCCCTTTCTATTATTGCTTTTTAATAATTATTTATTTACATACATGCGTCCGACTGATTTGCAGCTAGTAAGAATGGTCAGGACTTTTGTTTTTATTTTTTGGTTTTGGGGGTCATCAAACTTGTTGGATGTGAAGTTAGAATTAGTAGTACAAGTAGAACATTGATTGTTTGTTAAAAAATTGATAATTTTATTTAAGTAAATTTAGGTTTTAGCCAAAAAAAAAAATTTACTTTTGGAAAAAGCCAAATGTAAATGATTCCTTAGGAAACCCAAAAATAAATAAGGACAATTTTGTCCATTTTGGCTTCTTTTACAACATTTCTCTCCTTCGTGTTTTTCCAAAATCTCCCTTTTAGTTATATAAAAAATCTTCAAAGGACAAAATTATCCTCAATGAATACACGGATCATTTACCAACAGATCAACGTCATTGGATCCAGGATGGCCAACACATCCCTTCACCACGTGACCACAATGTCTTTATGCTCCTTTATAAGTTAAAAAATAAATACATATAAAAAAATTACGCCTTTATGCACCTCCTGCGGTTCAAATTTCACATTAATGCATGAGTTCAAATTATGAAAAAGACAGCTGTCAATGGGCTAAACAGCATTTATACATACTCGATGTCGTTGCACCATCCATCCCCCATCTCCTCAATTAATAAGGATAGCTACTCCATCCAACCAGCTCTCGTACCCATTATCTTAAGCTTAATAATAGTATTTTGATTTGCCTAATCTAAAATCAATCTTCCTCCGACTGTTGATAGGGAAGCTACCATATCTTAATTACAGAAGTGGTTCAAAATGATACTAGATGCCATGACTAGCACAAGCACAACCACAACCACGACGAAAAACACAAACTATATGGTGAAAAAATTTAGCTTCCAATAATTTACAAGTACATGTGAGTTCTGCAGATATGTAACCATAACTTATGACTCCAACATGAAATGCCTAGTTAGGAAAAATGAAACGAAAAAAACAATATTCAAAATGTGTACAGAAAGAATAAAGCTTTGAAGCTGATACTTAAGGACAAAAAGTGCCTACAAAGAGAGGGAGAGTGAGAGAGAGAGGCAAACCTGTCACATTTTACAGCTTAGAAGGTGTTGCACAGAACACTTCAAACATACCATAAGTGCCATTCTATGGATTGATATTGCACTCTCGCATATACATATGATCATAATCAACATATTTTACCCAGTAATTTCGGTATTTGGGTATGCCTATCTCAAGCCACGGTTTCATGTTGCCATTATAGTGTATAACAGCTGCTCGATCAATTTCCTTCTGGTTAACACTAGGGTTATAACCAAGGCCCAGCACATGGCAGGAGCGATCGAGTGGGTATGTGCGTTTCCAAAATGTTATGAGCCCAGGTGGTAGGGTTCCCAACTTCCACAATTGTCTATCATGATTCTGTGCAAAAAAGAAAACTTCGTTCAGAACTGTAAACAACATCAAACAAGCCAGTAAAGTCTAGCTTTCATAGCAGAGAAGGCTGGGAAGCAACAAGCAAGAATCTTAGAGCTATGAAAATATTGGTCTAAAGAAAGCCTATATCCAATCTCCAAAGCACCAAATCTCTAAATAAATAAAGATGTTAACCTAAGAGTTTAAGAGACAATCCTTGATTGATGGCTATGGTGCTCGCAGAGTCAGATAGTTTCCAATCAAGATTTTAAAAAAAATTTATTTCAAGTGAACAGTTAAGTGAGTTAAGTGTAAGTGATATTCAAATAGTCAAATCAATCATTTTAAATTTCCATGAAAACAAAATCTGAAACCATTTTCCTTACCAGCTCCTGCCATCTGTGGTACACCTCTGTGATGTTTTGCTTCTTCCATTCCTCCAAATCAAAGATATTCATTCCATATGCCCATCCACAAGCATGAGCATCAAAATTCTTTGAGATAAGAGGATTTGAAAAGTTAAGATACCGATCAAAGCGATGGAAGCTTTCTCCACAAGTCTCCACAGCCCCATTAACATTTCCCTTCAAGTCAAGGGCCCAGAGCCCAGTAAGATCCTTCTGCACAACTACATCATCATCCAGGAACAGAACTTTGTTGAGCTTTGGAAAGACCTCTGGAAGGTAAAAGCGGAGATGGTTCAGGATAGACAAGTACTTTGGGTTTCGAAACTTCAAATTTGAATCAGAATTGGCCCGATGAGTCCTAAAGTAATAATCTATCATGGATGCAGAACCCAACTGCTTCAGAACCGGACTGTAACTTGAGTTCAACCATGTTAATTCTTCAATGTTTTGAACCTGAATAGTGGCCTTGCCCGGTGGATTTACTAAAAACCACATTCTCATTGCAGCATAATTGAGCCTATCAGTGACAATATGGAAAACATGATTTGCAGGGTCCTGTAGAGGTTCCAAGCAAAGTAGTCAGTTAGAGATCTCAACCAAAATTGAAAGGTCCCAGACATGAATTATAGATTCTTGATTAGTACTCCAAGGTTTTTTTTTTTTCAACCTTCATCGTTCTTTATATTCGTTTTACTTGGGAGTTAGAACTGGGACAACAGAAAAGGAAGAAGAAGAAGAAAACACAAGGATCACAATATGCGGATACCTTAGCATGCGTGACAGTTGAGTTTACAACAACCGCTGCAGCCAATACATTGTCTGAGAATAGTGCATAATGGTACAGCAGGGGATCTTCTAGTTTCTCTTGATTGGGAAAGATCTGTTGAGAAGAATTTAAGGTATAGTATTCAGTGGTAAGGCGCAATGGAAGACAGTGAAGTCCCTTGGGAAGTGTTTTTGCCGTCAATTGTGTCAAGAACGTAGTCTGCTTCCTGTGCACCCGGAGTTGCTCTTCCATTGAATGAAGCATAGCTCGAAGCTTTTTCACCATAGCTGCGCAGTCGTCTTGAATCTGCTTACCTTTAGTCAATGTCTGTTCCATTGCCTTCAACTTATCGTAGGCGCTGTATTAAGATAAACAATTATTACAAACAGAATAAAGAAAACGAATTTTTTGGTAGAATTAGAAACATAGTGAAAGATAGACAGTAACTTTTTTTTTTTTTTTTTGAGGACCTTTCCTATTGAGAGGGGCGATAGTATACTAAACTCACACACACTACACGGATGCTAGGACCCGAACCCAGGACCTGGTCTGAGGGAGTAAATACTCCAAGCCACTACACTAACCAATAAGGATACCAACAAACATATTCATAAACAAAAAGGAAAGACAAACTTGAGTAAGGTAGCAAAGTTAATTTCGTTTAAGAGAAAACATACTTCCTTGGCAGGTCAGAATCCTTGGTTGCCTCCCAAAGTGCTTTTTGAACTTCTTTTATTCGCAGTCGAAGCTCCCTTGTGAAATGGGGGTTGTTTCTTGTGGCTGGAAGAGATAGGTAGACCTTTGCCCTGATGAGCTGGTCTTTAAGATGTCGTACCCGAACATCTGGAACAGCTGTTTCATCATTCTGTTTTTCAGTCATAGTTTTCTTGGGTTTTCTTTGATCAACCCTGCTGGATGTTTGAGTGGATTGTCGCTCATTCTTTATTTCCTGGAAGTAGAAGCAGTGCCATAAAAGAACAGAGAAATAAGAAATATGAATCGACCTTTTCTCAAATTTCAATAAGGAAGAAAAGTCGCAAGCAATTTAGTGCAAGAAATGGATTCAATTTAGTGCGGAAAACATGTGCATTTGGCAATTAGAAGTTTTCAAAAGTGCAACCATTTCCAAACACTTAGGAGGACCATTGGTATAAAGGGAAAGCGGAACAATTGGTACCGTAGTTTGAGAGGCATTATCAACATTTTGCTCAGAAGCACCACCTCCTTTGGCATGTAAGTCAGACATAAACTGGTTTCCTTGCTCAAGTGTTTGAGTGACCTGTCTGATGGGATTATCTGTTTGAGACAGATTTTGGTCGTTGGTGGTAGATAACACTCTAGCGGATACATGCTCCATGGAGTCCACTGAAGGCCCATCTAAGAAATAAGATGGGGAAGCGATTTAGAATACACCAAGATTGATTATAAGGGAAAAAAATCACAGAAATGATAAATAAATAAAAGAAGCATTGCAGGTAGGAAAGTTAAAAGAGTAAAATGATAACCTTTATGAATGTGATTGGGGTGGGCGGAGCTCCCCCTTGTCTCTGGATATGAATTAGTGGAGTTGTTGGAATATACCACTCCGACAGGTTCTTTAAGGGTTGTGGATGATTCCTACGATCAGGAAAAATAAATAAATAATTTAATGGATGAAAGTTGAGTCCTTCAAACATGGAAAATTTCCTTCTCTAGCTTTTTATTTATTTATTTATTATTTGGTTCTGAAACTACAAAAAGGAACAAGGAAGAGTAATTAAAAATAGGGACCTGGGGAAGCAGATTTAGACGGCCTGTATGAGCATTAGCAGCCTGTGTAGAAATTTCAAGGTTAATTTTAAATTCATCCAGCAATAACTAGAGATCGGAAAACAAATGCAAAACAACTTACAACGGCTGTAACATCTTCAACAAAATCGTCTCCAGCTGCAGAGGAGGCATTGGGATTTAGGGATTAGGGATTCGGCATTGGGATTTGAACAGGGAAAAATAAATAGTCCAATCCAATAGTAGAATTTATAATGAGAACAACTTACAGGAGGAAGAGGAGACCTGGAAGGACCCGAGACGATCAGTGTAGAGTATAATGGGAGCAATCACCGTTACAAACAACATCACCATCACCACATTCCTCACCATCATCTTTCCTAAAATTAAAATTTTTAAATTAAAAAAAAAATTAAACAAGGCAGCCCCAGCACACAGAGGCAGAGGCCAATCCTCTCTCTTTTCGCCTTTTGGAGCAAACAGCCGCCGCACCTCCCTCCTAATCACAGGTTTCTCCGGTGGATTGACTATTATCCTTCCTCCCTTCCTCCATCCTAAAATTAAAAACCTTGTTTTTCAGCCGTAGGATCTCTCTGTCACTGACATTTCATAAACTGCTACAAGCAAAGCAAAGCAAAGGATAAATTACAAGCTTTACTTACAAAGACAATGGGGCGAGGGCAGACAGAGAAAATAGACAAAGAAAGTCGGCGCCTGTTGATAATTTCTGAATACAATATAAATGGAATGAATGAGTGATAGACAAAGCCTACTACTCATACCTGCTAATAATACCACGAGAAATATTCCGGCTTCCGCCAAAGCTATCTAAAATAAAAATTCTAAAAAGTAATATAGAAAATACATTTAAATTTTTGTTTTTGCTACAAATAGAAAATATAAATTGAATTATAAGTTTGACACTTTTTCTTTTTCTGCAAAACTCTACTTTATAATTTTTTTTTAAAGTTTTTTGTATATGTGTGTGGTGTACATTGCTATGCACTCACAGGTTTTATCAATATGAGCTGTTTAATCAGGCATTAAGTTATACACATGTCAAAATTACAACATTTTAAGGTTTTGGTGGTTTATTTATAAATTTGCATTATATAAATACATACGATTTCGCATTGTAGTCATATTTGTAAATATTATGGCATTTTAATTAAATTTAATTTAATAATTTTTTTTATTTATAAGTTATTAACATCTTTTAATTGATGTGATTGTATATTTTATTTGTCACATAAACTAATATAAGAATGTGATATTAGCATTAGTTTTTGAAATGCCATAATATTTTTAGTATTTAAAGAAAATAGAGAAGTGAGCGTTTCACCTAAAAAAATAAAAGTAAAGAAGTGAGCGTATCCCTTATTTATTTTCACGGGCAGGCCGCGCCAACTACACGTGAGGGACCACCACATGAGTCAGCATCAAGACACGCGTGATTGACGGCTGTTTATTTGCATTTTAACTGAAATCTGAAAAGTGAAAATGAACTGGAACACAACACACATGATCATGAGCACTGGACCGGACTGGACTGGACACAGCAAAGTCAGCTTCTGATCAATCAAAGAGAGCAAAGTACTTGAAGTAAACGAAACGAGATCACAAATGCACATTGCACAACAGTCTCTCTCTCTCTTAACTTATAATTTTTTAAGTTGATCTTTTCGGGCCTGCGTGCTTGGGTGATTTCTTTTTTGTAATCTCTCTTTTTCACATTTGAAAAAAAAAAGAAAAGAATCAAATCACTCTATAATTTGAAATGTATGGTTCATTATCTAATAAATTTTTAATGGATACCGTAAGAAGGCCCCCCAGGGACACATCAAGCATGAGCTGAGTCCTGACCAACATAACAGAACATGGTCATGGATCATGGAATGTTTCTTGGAGCACCGAAGAGTGTCGGCAGCACAAGCACAACAATATTAGTAGCTGCCCGCTGCCCGCCAGCCTCGCTTCCTTTCGCTGGGCCATTCCCATTTCGTAGCCGCTTGATTTTCATTCCTTAAATTTCACACTTATTTTTTCTATAAATTTTTAATTATTTTAACTAATCTCACCCGCCTCGTATAATCTCATTCTTAAAACATGCACACTTGTGTTTCATGCTAATTAATTAACAAGCACATTTCTGTTATAATTAACTTCTGAAGAGGTATTTTAACGAGTCGAGGTATTTTATAATTAATTTTTGGACGGAAGGCTGGCTCTTAACTCGGGAATGGGACAATGACAAGTTTTTATGGTTCTAATTCTAAGAAAGAATACATACACCAGAGACTTACAGAGAAAAATAAAATTGTCCTTACCCTTTGCAAATTTAAGAAATTGTGCATAGAGAGAGAGAGAGAGAGTTGTTGTGGAAATTCATAGGCAGTGCAGAGTTGTTAGAAATAATGAAGGAATCACTTGGTTGGTAAATTGATGATGCTAATGATTGTAATTGTAGAGTATAAAAGAAGAGTGCCACTGCCTCACTGCCAGCCAGCCAGCCACTGTGATGATTTTCCATTTTGAAGCAAACAATCTAGTTGAAAAACTTTTGAGTCCTTTGATTGATTCATTTCCAATTGGTTTTGGTTTTGGTTTTGGTTTTAATAACAAACAGAATAGCAAGAGACCCAATATGAATTAATTGGACAATAATAAATCACAAAAGTGTAACACAAATGGCAGAGGAGTGTAAACAAGAAAAAGGAAAAAGGAGATGGAGGGAGAGAGACGGGTGGGTGGCTGGCTACCTTTACACAATATTGAGTGAGTAATCGATCCTTTGGTAAGTAGTCCCATCTGGGTCTGCCTCTGGCTACATATCCACCCCCCTTGTTGCACTTGCATTGCATTTACATGCCCAAGTTTATCTTCTGTTTATGTGACATAACGCGCAGTTAATAATAATAATAATAAGAATAATAATAATAATATAAACTTAATTAGATGGGCTGTTGATGAAGGGGCTGATTGAGCAGGAAGGTCCAAATGCAATCCGCACCCTCATTCTCCAAGCCATCATCATCTTGATTAAGATCTCGAGGACTTGGCCTTGCATCTTCCTCAAGCTTGTCCTTAGCTGGAGGAAAGTCTAGGAGTAGTTCCTGATGATCGGATTGATCATGAGTCTGATAGAAACACCGCCCTGCCGCGGAGAAAGAAAATTGATCATCAATACTTATACCATGACCAGGATTACTACTAGTCGTAAAGGTGGGTGTGTCATCCAGTGCCAGTACTGGTGATGAGAAGACGTCCTCAAAATTAATCCACTCCTCCGATTGGGAGATTATACCATCTTTCAGCCACGGAAAATCAAATACTCCTAATGCGCAGTGGGATTCTGATGATGTCTTACAACAGCTACTGGTACTGCTGCTGCTGTCCTTGTATTCGAGGACGTCATTTTTCAAGTCCAAAATACCATAATTAATGGGACCATCTTTTGTCTTTGCATGCTTCTCTCTCTCTGAAGAAGAAGAAGAAGAGGAAGAGGAAGAAGAAGAAGAAGGGGAAGAATTATTGTGGCCTTCGTCTCCTTCTCTTACTCTCTTCTTGCTGTCACGCTCCATTTATATAATGAAAGCCTTAATAAGTTCCTGCTCATGAAAAATATATAGGAAAGCTCATTATGTAATGTATAGAAATAATAATATGGAGGAACAAAATTATACAAACTCTGGGAGCGAGAGCTCTACCCATCATAATAATATAGGTTTAACTATAGATTACATGTATACATATACATATATATATATATATATATTATATGAAAAAACTACTCATACTAATAATAAAATACACAGCTTAAACTTGATTCATAATCAGCAAGGACATGCTAAAATCAGATGGGTGAATTCCTAGCTAGATGCTTCAAAAGTTGGCAATGGTATCGTATGCCTAATGAAATTAATTGCAAAATAAATTAAATGAATGCATATGCATCTGAATGCGCACACAAGAACCCTTGTGACCTTGAGATTCAAAGATAGAATTATTGAAATGGTACAAGAAAGAGCGAGTCTGATCTGATGGAAATGGTGGAACTTTGAATATCAATTTTATATCAAACTTGTTTTGTTGTTTTTTTTTGCATTCATTACGTACCTGTAACCTGTATTGGGCTTTGGCAGAGGCAGTTTGTATATCTGGAGCTGTCGAATGTATGAAACGTCCGCTGAAGAATGATGATTACAAAAGAGTTTTGCTCACACGCTACGCGATTTTAAGCTAAACCGTCTCTAACCACACACACAGACACACTCCTTCATCACGCCTTTTACCCGCCCATCTCTCTCTCTCTCCATCAAGAATGAAATGAAACAGATGGGTTGGGTTAGTTCCTCTTTTTGCGTTCCTTTCCTTTCTCTCTCGCCTCTCTATTTTTTCAGTTTCCAACTTCCAAATACCACAGGCAAAGGCATCCACCCCCACATCCTTTTCTCCCTTGCTTTTTCTTCCTCCGTTTTGTCTCCACTAGTTTTGCCACGTCATAAACACCCCAAGCAAGCAATGTAAGTTTAGTTCATACCATTTCACTTTTCGGCTTTCAATCCATTTATTCCAACAAAAAGAAAACACCTTCATTCATTCTATCGTATTGTTCAACATTGCTACACATTAGTGACAGACAGCAGAGAACTATCACAATCTTTTATTGTTTCTGTCACTCGGGCATTGCTCACCTCCAAATTCCAATACAGTAGACTTTTCAATGCTCCGGTTGAGACGAATTCAAATATCTAAGAAAAGAAATTTTTTACAATGTAGGATATGACCGACTTTATCTACATTGCCACTGTGATGTGATCTCTAACTGAAATTTCCAGAAATTTGTACAATTATTACATTGGAAGCTTGAAATTTTTGCTCTCATCCAATGAGAAAAGAGCGAATATATCCTCAATCGTATTCAACAAATGTTAGTCTGCCCTCAATTGTATTCAATAGAAGAAATTCTGCATATCATGACTGTGCCAAAGGATATAATTTGATCCTTTTCTGATAAATTGAATAATTTCATCATCTTTTGGAGGGCTCTTCATAGGTTTTCGCCTCTGACTGCTTACCGTATGTGGAAACCTCACAGGTCAGGTAGTAATCCATGATCTTCTTCACTAAATAAAAACTTCCATCGAAGCTTTCATCTGTCCTTATGACATTCTCGATGTTCTCACAGCACTTAGGCACACATTTTTCCTCTGCTGCGCATAGCTCACAGATACAGTTGGGCAAATAATGTGAAGTTGCTTCCAGAATGGGAGGCTCAAGTTCCTCTTCTCAATTTAAAGAGGAAGACTGTCGCATCACAGATCACAAGCACATGAATCACAAGGACCCAAACACGAACAGTCAGGTAAAGGATTAGTTTTGTATGCAATGCAACTAGCCACATGCAATTAGCACTACCAATAGTCCCTACAAGAACAAGAGCCATCGCGGAAATGATGGAACCGGTTTGTATCTCTCACAATGATTTCTCTCCCTTCCACCTTTGAGACGTACTTGATTGCCGAATGACAATCACCACAAACCCTGATGTTCTTCTTGATCCGAATGGTGGATCCTGGAGTAGTGTTAAGAAGCGCAAATGCTAGAGCAAGCTTCTCACTATGGTACTGCAACTTGACTTCCCTCTCCTGCTGGTCCACAAAGAAAAGAACATGGCTAGTGTCTGGGACGTATCCAATCTCCTTAATCTTCCCACTAATCGTCTCCCACATCTGAAGGATCTCTACTCTTTGAGGGTGAGCATCATCATTTGCCACAAACATGTGGACTGCATTCTCAATCTCCACCCAACTACAAGCAGGTTCTTTTTTCACCCCACAATCTTTCATCAACTTTCTCACTCTTGCAGCGTCACTCAATCTGCCAGCAGAGGCATAGATATTAGAAAGTAACACATGGGGGCCTGAATCATGGGGATCAAGCTCAAAAACTCGTTCAGCAGCATAAGCGCCCAAGTCTATATTCTTGTGCATCCTACAAGCACCTAACAAGGCTCCCCAAACAGCTGCAGTGGGTTCAATCGGCATTTCTCTTATGAACTTCTCAGCTCGATCAAGTAGACCTGCACGGCCAAGAAGATCAACAATTGTCACATAGTGTGAAATCTGCGGTTCTATGTTGTAACTTTTCATCAAGTCAAAATAATATTGTCCCTCATCCAAGAGACCAGCATGGCTGCAGGCAGTAAGAACACAAAGAAAGGTTATATCATTAGGTTGGATTCCAATTCTCAGCATTTCTTCAAACCGCTGTACAGTTTCCTGTCCAAGCCCATGCTGGGCGTATCCAGTAAGCATAGAATTCCAAGAAACAATGTCTTGTCTAACCAACCTGTCAAAAACCTTTCTTGCATCCTCAATGCTGCCTGATTTGGCATACATGTCAAGAAGAGTATTCCCGACAAAAGCAACAAGCTTAGCACCCGATTTTATCATGTGGGCGTGAACCCACTTGCCTTGCTCCATAGACCCTGCACTGGCACAGGCAATAAAGACGCTAGAATAAGTGAAATGTGTGGGTTTAAATCCTTCCCTGAGCATCTTCCCGAGCAACCTGAGAGCATGCTCTCCTTGAGCCTTCCTGGCATGCCCAGCAATCAAAGCATTCCAAGACACCTCATTCTTGGTCTCCAGAGAGTCAAAGATCAACTGGGATTCATCCATATGGCCCCACCTAGCATACATGTCCACAAGAGAAGTGCCCACATAAACATTGGTATCAAAACCGTACTTAAGGCAATAAGTGTGAAGCTGCCTGCCGTGCTCGTTGTTATCATCAGACACAGCACCAGCAGCCTTGAACAAGCTAGACAAGGTGAACTGATTGGGTTCCAGGCCACGGAGGAGCATTTGAGGGAACAAAACAAGTGCATCCTGAGGTCGATCATTTTGAGAATAGCCAGAAATCAAGGCAGTCCAAGTGACCAAGTCCTTGCAAGGCATTTGATCAAACAGGTTACGAGCGTCTTCCAAACTACCGCATTTGACATACATGTTAAGGATGGTGTTGTGGATGGGAAGGTCATCTTTAAAGTGGGAAGTAAGGATGTGAGCGTGCACAATTCTTGCTTGTTGAAGTCTGCCCATCTGGGTACATCTGTTTAGCAACTTATTGTACAGAGTCCGGTCCGCTTCCAAAGAACCGCGATTAACCAAGTCCAGAACATGAAGCCCTGTTCCCGAATTGTGGAGGCTCTTGCGAAGAAGGTCCTTATCTTGGATGATATGGGAAGCGTACCAGTCTTCGCCTTCTGAAATTTCTTCCGAGTCCGTGCAGGAAGCCCGAGTTGCAGACGTCCTCAACTGTGCCGCCGATAATGAAAGTTTCTGAATGCCAACAGCAGCAGCATTCTTGTACAAGTACAAGGCCTTGGATTTGGATTTAGATATACGTCTTGACATATCAGATTACAAAATCTGAACAAAGCTAGCTCCTCAAATAATATTCAATCACTAAACTGGCCGAATAGGCGTATGTATGTTCATAGCGTACACCGATTAGTTTCTGTTAAGACTTTTTTTTTATGGTTCGAAATCTGACATCATTAAAAGCCAAATAGGGATAGGGATTATTGATTCAACCTTTTTCCTTCCATTTCCTATCATTTCTGAATTAATGTTATTGATTTTTCCGAACCCTAGAAGATCTTGAGAGTATTATTGGAGCACATCCGAAGCATATGTGTGGATGAAATATATAATAAGAGTATGATTTAAATATTTAAATCATACTCTTATTATTGTATTCCAACATAATGGTGTTTTTGTTAGGACCGCGCATGTGGCCGTAATGTATGTGTGACCAACATAAATGGAATCATTTATTTTGAGGAATCACAAATGATTTTTCCCATTTTGTGGTTTCAATAATGAATTTTCCCATTTTAGGGTTTCGCTAATGAATTCCGCATTTTAGGGTTTCACCAATGAATTTTGCATTTAGGAATTTCGTCAATGAATTTTTTGCATTTTGGGGCTTGACATAAATTAACGCATTTTGAGGTTTCGTCAATAAATTTTCACATTTTGGGGTTTTCTGAATGAATTTTCACATTTTGGTCAAAAATGAATTGTCGAATTTTGGGGTTATGTTAATGAATTTTCACATTTTAGGGTTTCATGAATAAATTTTCACGTTTTAGGGTTTCATGAATGAATTTTCGCATTATGGGACTTCACATGAATTTTAGCATTTTCTGGTTTCAAGAATGAATTTTCACATTTTCTGGTTTCGTGAATGAATTTTCGCATTTTAGGGTTTCGCTAATGAATTGTCGCATTTTGAGGTTTCATCAATGAATTTTCACATTTTGAGGTTTCGTCTAAGAGTTTTTCGCATTTTGAGGTTTCGTCTACTAGTTTTTCTCATTTTGGGGCATTACAAAGGAATTTTCGCATTTCATGGTGTCAAGAACGAATTTTTGCATTTTGTGATTCCAAGAATGAATTGTCGCATTTTGGCCTAGTGAAACCTTAAAATGCAAAACTCATTGACGAAACTCCAAAATGCGAAAATTCATTGGGTTACAACCAGAAATGTTTTGATAGTTGATACCACATTTTCATTTTTCAAATGTTTTCTGGGATTCGTGTAGCCTAATCCTTCGGTCGATATGTTGGAAAAACATAAAAATAAAAGGGGATATTCGTGGAACGACCATTTCCAATTCAAGACAAGAGAACGGAAAAGGAAAAAAAAAATTCATAAATTTATAATTCAAGGCCACCAATTGTAGTGTGGCTACTGACTGCAGGACTCGTTATTTGTTATTTTGAACAACACCAATAAAGCATAGAATAATGAGTCTCTCTCTATTCACAATCTGCAGTTTCATTCAACAGAGTTAACTTCAAATGACTTTAATTTACAATCAAATTAGAACATCAAGAAGAATTATACAGATATTTCAATTTTAAGACGTTTTTTTTATAAAGAAAAGGATTCATAATCTTCATATTTAACCACCAAAAAAGTTATAGAAAAAAAAAATCAAGAACGTAAAATACACCAGATAAGTTGCATTCATGTGAAAAATGAAATCAAACTTCAACTGCAACAGCCTCCAGCTTGAGAGGAAGAGCCATCTCTGCCTCCTGATGGCCCCGGAATTCCACCATATCCAACTTTTATGCCATAAGACTGAAACAAGACCAAGATTTGAGAATAAAGCCCATACGGCTCTCATTCATTCAATACTACAAATTGTTTACTTTGTCTCTGAATATTCGCCGGAAGGAATTTCTTGTTCATTTTGACTTTATTGTGATATTGCCTATTTATTGCAGGTCCAATAAGTAGTGGTTTAATGTACCAGTAACTATACAAAGAGAATGACATGATAGGTATAAGGTAATAATTAGTGATGGTGGAACAATTTCAAATCTTTTCAGAGAGCCAATACTTCGAAACATGAGCCCAACCCAGTCTCATCTCTACATTATTATAGAGATTTCAACAGAATACTCTATATATTTCAAGTGTGAGCTTACCCATTACATTTGCAGACTGCTCTAAATTCTAAGCAAGGATAATTAGCAATCATATAAGAAATTTACTCTGCAATCAATCAGAACAAGATGCATTCACATAATGGCTCCATGGACCACACAGTCAATCATTACCCTAGACATTCACAAAATGCTCCATTCAAGCAGATTTTGAGATTTTTTTACATGTTTTACTAAAATGCCGACTAAAAGGTTAGGAGGACATGTAAGGAAGAATACAAAAAAAAGAAAGCTAACCTCATTTGATACATCAAAAACTCCATCTTGAATCTTCTTGTATATGGTTGCAGCAGTTTTTATAAATGCCTGAACGAAAAATAACCAGTATTAATAAAGGCAAAATCAAACATCACAAAGGGATTGGGTTTTCTTAACAAAACAGTGTCCATCAAAAAGGCAATCTATTGTCACCTCCTCAACATTCTGAGCAGTTTTAGCAGAGGCCTCCATAAAGATCAGCCCATGCTCCTTTGCAAACTGTTCCCCTTCCTCTGTACTCACAGCCCGTCTGTGAGCAAGATCACACTTATTACCAATTAACATTATTGTCATGTTTGCATTTGCATGTTGCCTCGCGTCCTCTAACCAGCTAGCCAAGTGATTAAAAGTTTCCCTCCTAAGAGTAAAAACAATGAACTATTGTCATCAACAGTGCCTTGACATGCCGCATAAATATAATAAATATATATGTTAAATCAAGCAAGCTGTGTAATGCTCTTTAACTAGACTTGTACATCGATGTAGTGGGATCTGGCTTGGGTTTGTACTTTTCCATTGCATTAGGCAATACTGCAAAAGCCTTATTATGCCTAACCCCACTGGATTGAGGAATTATGAGATGTGTGAATTGTGATAGAAACACCTACTCCGAATGCAATTGAGTAGTACCAAAATATACGCTCGTAGAACCTTGTAATGGATCAATGCAGAAACAATGACATTTTACTCAAAAAACCACAGGACCATTATTGAATATGACACAATAGTCTCCCTCAGTAATACCTACCAAATGGCGGTAAAAAAAAGTGTAATAGTGTACAACAATAGAGCAACAAACAATCTATGTACTATCTTAAAAAAGAAAGAATTATCGTAGTTGATAGATACGTTTGTGTTGTGTCCAAGACAATTGAGAATGAGATTAGAATTGAAACTATACCTGGTGATGTCATACACAAGCAACGCACCGGCAGCCCCTCTGTAGTAGGACCGTGTAATGGATCTGAAAGACTCTTGGCCCGCCTGATATATTATTATTATTGCATATTTGCAAACAAAATTGTGAATAGAAAAGCTTTAACAAATTCATAGCAATTAAGCATATATTACATAAAATTAACATTAAACCAGGAGTGAATTTACAAACCGTGTCCCAAATTTGGAGCTTAATTGGTTTGTTGTCGATGGTGATCATCCTGGCTCCGAACTCAACACCAATGGTTAAATCGTGCACTGGCTGGAACCTCTTGTCGGTAAACTGAAGAAGAAGACATGATTTTCCAACTCCTGCACAACACAACACAACAAATCAGTTATTAATTAATTACTCGGAAAAGAAAACAAAAATCCAAAACAGAAATTTAGCAAATCGCAAATCAAAGGAAGGATAAAAAGAAGTTGATCATGTTGTCGATTACGATTACGAAGGAATAATAAATAAATCTAAGCAATTAGAATTACGAAGTACCAGTATCGCCGATGATGATGTACTTGAATAAATACGCGTAAGACATTCTTCCCTCACTTAAGTCTTATCTATAAACAAACACAAATTTGAGTGAGATAGATCCTTCTCTCGGCTGGGCGGACTAGTTTGAATGATGTATGATGCCAAGCAGTCGGTAATTTCAATTGAATTCCGATTCCAATAGAAAATACAACTTGGTTTTGTTCGTGTGTATTTATACAGGAACAGGAGATCGACAAGGGAGAAGAAACCGAAACAAGAGAGGAGAGGAAAGGGAGGTCAGACAGACAGAGCAAGACCAAAAGCAAAACAGTCTGCAGCGAAGCAATGCGTCTTCTATACACTTCCGCTCTCCGTCCTCGCTGTCATTTCCTCCTCCACGTACATCACCCACTGACCCACCCCGTTTAGGCCCCAACTCAAAAAAACACAAAAAACAATTACCCCGTAAGTTGGTCCAAATTGATCCAATTTGGGCCGTCTCTCATTTCACGGCCCATTCGCTTCTTTTAATATAGAGACTCTGGGAGGGAATCAAAATATATATATATATATATATATATAGTACAAACGATAGTTTAAACTAAAAATCAACTAAACGATAGTGACACAACTAATGTCATGAGACTTAAATCTGAAACCTCTGATCTGCAAGTCTAAACCCTTTTTCACTAGGTCTAATCGGTCGGTAGGTTTGAGAGTGTTATTGACAGCATTAAAAGACGTTTGCAAATAACCAATACTATACTATTTAGTATTTGTTTGGTTAAAATAAACCAACAATGAGTTGGCTAAATTTGGTTTGTTTGTATGTCCTAATAGATATCTTAATTGAATAAGCCCCACCGGTTTACCATAAAACACATGGACCTAAATCAGAAACAAGTGTTCAACTGGTGTGATTGAGATTGAGATTGAGAGTTAAACCTCATCGAATAAAGTGGAGAGAAGCAATATTATTAGGAGGCCGATGGTTATTGACAATGTATTCATTCTTTGCTTCAAAAGAAAATGAATACATACTAAAATTACAAATGTTGTTAGAGGTGAGGCTTTGCTTTGCTGGAAAGTAAAAAGAAAATAATAATAGGCCTCAAATTCAATCAATAACATAGAATAATGTTCCAACAACTTGTTCTGGGGGGAATTGTTACTGTTAAAAGATTGTCTTCACCTCTGAATTCAAATTCTTCCTCTTCTATGGAGTTGACTGAGCAAGCTTTGGGCTTTAAACTGGAGTATGCTCCAAAACTACCAGCTCCTCCTCTTCCCTTGATGTGTATTTCACAACTAGACTCATCGCCAAAGCAGTCAATTGCTTCAACTGCTCCACCGGAATTGTACATATTCAATAATCCAATAGCTGCAAACTCAATCTCTTGCTTGTAAACCTTAATAGGAGATACAGTAAAGACATCACACTGGAGAAGTTTTAACGTGACCTCAAACGACTTGTCCTTTGGTAAACGAGACAGGCACCCTGAAATTGTATATTGTTTATAAAAATAAAAAAAAACATATGTAAAAATAAGGCATTCAATTAACTCAACAGCCAAGCCATGACATGAATAATACCTTTGGTGAAGGAATAGACTGCACAATCTCCAGTCCAATGCTTCCCAGAAACCTCTTCGAAATACTCAATATCTGCAGGGGACACCTGCCCAGATAGCTCAGCAGCACTAGCTTTTACCTCAACAATGTTTTCCACACAAGGCCACTTCCCTGCTCCCTGGCAGTTGAAAATGCCTACAACTCCATTGCATTTGTTCAAATTCCATATCTTTAGAAGGCTATCAGCAAGCACAAGCAGAGAAGGTTGTAAGAAAAGAAAAAGAATATCATAATCATCTTCAACTTAACCCGACTTAAGTGGGATTGTTTGGGAGGTACATATATACCTCTTCCCATCCATAACTGGGTCAACAAATAAACAATCCCGCGATGGCCTCCCGGGGTATCGAGCTCTGAGAATTGACCCATCGGGAAGTACAAGCCTTTTAAGTATCTCGAAATCATGCTGGCCAGGTTTGTCACTGTTGTCAATTGTGGCATGTTCTAAAATTAGTCATAGCTACACCATTCTGAGAAATTATTAATTTAGCACGATGATTCATCAATCTAGTTTAGAAAACGTGCAACTTGTACTCTTAATTTGTAAATTAAGAGAAGCAGAGAAGCAGATAATTTGTAAATTATACATCTACCTGCGGGCAGCAGGTAGGATCTAACATGTACAAAGTAGAGAAGCTGATAATTGTGGATGTGTGTCACTATTCAGTAAATTAGTGAGACATTCACAATGCCATGCAAAATAAATAGTTAAAAGATGACATTCTAAGGTAATCACTTAATTCTGGACACGGCTGAGAGACTGAGGGCAGTAAAAGCAAATGATAAAGATACAAGTGAAGTGAAGGGCTATCAATTTAATCATATTTTGTTCATGCCTCCATTAACTCATGTAGCTCCACTGTCACTTACCTAACATAGACTCCACAGCCTCCCACAGCTCTAGCAGCAGCATGGAACTCAGCTGCATCATGACGGCTCTGAAAATTGTAATTTAACACTTTTAAGTTCTGCATTTAGAAAAACAGCGATAGGCTTAATTTAACAGTAATTATGCCACACCATACATAGAACATGTCCCAATCTGGGACAACAACTTCACCGAGGAATATGCTGTTGAAAGCCACAGCAGCAACGTGTAGTGTCTGTGTTGTTGGGTTTTCTGGGTAGTAATCATCAGATGCTCGAGTAATAGCACTTTTTTTCGAACTGCAATAGACAATTGGGAGGTTACCATAATATGTGGAAACCTTAAAGTAAAGAGCAAAAAAATGTTGGTCACAGTTCTCAGTGACATTCACTGTATGAATTGAATATTTAAGTTGCTACGTTTTCAAATAAAATCTGCGGGTGGGGGCATTGTAAAGCATAAATTATATACTGGTAAATGGAGTCTGTGCTTTGGCCCATGCAGCAGATTATGCTGTTGTCGTGGAAGTGGGTGGCTATGGACTTCTCGAGTGCCTGTTGGAACTGTCTAGTTAGAGAGACGCGCCCTCCTAAACCAGTTGATATGGTCTCCAGTATGTTCTGAACATCGACCTTAACCCCATCCACATCCTGTGAAACAAGATAACCGTGTAGATCATCATAAAACTGATACACCTTTGCAGGATCTATTGCACCAACACCATATTTCTCCATGCAATCCATGGCCAAGTCCCTCATATTTGCCAAATTCCCGGGGGATTGTACTGGGTATCTTAGCTTAGGATTATACTTTTTAGTTCCAAGAGCATTTGGAAGAAGCCCTCCCCAGTATCCCAACAGGGCATGCCATACATAGACGTACCTGGGAGTTTGGATAAAGTAAAGCATCAATGGAACATCCTGAAAGGTAAAGATTCCAGAGAAGAGATCTAAGATACTCATGAAGACATCATAGATTTACACTAGTTGTCCGAGTGGTAGGTATATATGTTGGACAACCGCTCACAATTTGATGGTTTTTGGGAAATATGACATGAAACAGTTTTCTTTGAGAATTTCATGCAGCTGTAAAACGGGTTCAGTGGTGACAAAACTTTACAGACAATTGGTGAACATGTCTATGTAAATCTAGAACAATTTCCGGTTCATTTTCACTTCATAGACAGATTAAATAATAAATAAAATCTTCTACAGAGAGCAGTGAAACTTCAAAGTTTTCTCAAAACTTGCGCTGAACTCCAATTAGTACGAATATATACCCATATAAGCACAGACATAAAAGTACAGTTCGTGGTGAATTTTTAAAACTCATCCAATATTGTTGCTGAAGTTTTTCTGTCTGCAGCAGTTTGCTTCAGTTCAGACCACTTAAGGCGAATATCTACATAAGATGACAAGGTAAGGTAATTAAGAAGTGCATAATTGAAACCTTACTTGAGGCCAAAATTCCCCTTGATTTCAGAAACAAATTCCTTCAGACCACTTGGTGTCTCGCTTTCAGCCTCTTTATTGGTTGTTGTACGAAACTTGTTATTTTCTTGAATGCTATTTAATCTACCACCAAACCTGCAGTTAGGAGAAAATCAGTATGCCTGAATGCGCGTCTAAATTGACAAGAAAAGATAATGAACATACTGTGATCCTTCAACAAATGGCTCCCCTTCTATTTGGAACTCATTTGACGTATCTTGCCACCCATCGTCAATTATCAAAAACTTAGCTGGAGTACCTCCCTGTGATAAACTGTGTATGTTTGTTTGAATGTGATTAGATTTTAAACAAATGAGTTGTCATCAAAGTAACAGGAGAAAAAATAAAATTAAAGTCAATTTAATTGAGTAAATAGGGGTAATCCAATAAAGAATTCGCAAGACCATAACAAGTCTATTGCTCTAATCCGTACGGTACGGACATTGTTTCTATCATTCTCAAGATACCCCTATCATTCAGATATTTGACTCAGAAAGCTATATGATGTTCAGTTGGTGCAGCATCTTCACAATGGCACATCTTCCCATTAAGAGCTATGTAATGATAAGATATTCTAGCTCTATGTGGATTTTCATCAAAGTAAATCAAATTCTTTAGAAGCAAGCTTTACAGAGGATCCCGACCAAATATAGTTTTATATATATATATATATATATATATATATAGATATATCATAGATATAACCCATTCCTCTCAGTGTATTCTTTATATTTTTCTCACCTGTAAAAGAGACGATATGTTTTCTCCTCTCCTGAATATGTTACTAGGATAATAGGGAATAATCAGTTTATGGTCTCATAACTAAGGAATTTATCATCCTAGTACTAGATTAACCCCTTCTCAATGCAACTGGTTTATGATCACATATTAATGAATATATGATGGGGAACTCTTCTTATTGCAGATCTTTTTGAAGGAAACTGAAGCGAAACGAGATTTACCTTTTCAGGCCTTCTCTGATTCCCTGAGGATTAACTCCTTGATAAAAGGCATCCCAGGTACACCAGCCAAACCAATCTAGCATTCCAGGCATCTGCATCAGGAAATCATAACAGGATGCGTTATTGATCATAGTAGTTGACTAAATCTTGAGATATTTAAAATTTTGGCCCTCTAGGTCTAAAACGTTGGCTGACTTGCCTGTTTGGATTCTCTAAGAGAAAAAGTTCCAAAATGCTTCTCCAAAATCCTGAAGTTGATCACAAGTTAAAATACTTTAGTTTCAATAAATTGGTGTGGGTGTCTTGGTCTTATATGACTTAACTAAGATTCGGTATGATGCTTGAATATGGAACAGAAATTTGTTTCTATGTACGACAAATGCAATGCTATTTTTCTGTAAGTGCTATGATCATTAAGCTAAAAAATTTACTTGAAACTCAAA